AAAAACCAAAAAAATGATAACTGGAATAATAATTGTTTTGAATTGAATCCGAAGAAAATGAAAGCGCGCGCGTAGCGCGCGTTGTCTGCTAGTCCTATATTAAAAAAGGCATGTGTACCAAGAAGTGCGCGTTTGGAATATATCGAATATATCGCACCTATTGTTGCCTCTTAGTTGGTTGGTTGATCGAGTCGAATCGAATCGGTAAGATCGAGAGAGTAAATAATGAAAAGCGATTTTGAGACAGTTCGTCGTATATGTAGAGAAAATTAAAAACGTAACTAAAGTCGTGACAGGAAAGAGTAGAAAAACAACACGTGAAAATAACGTGACTGTAATTTATATTATATATAACATTAAAGATTACATATTATACATATAATTTATTATATATTTATAATATTATACTTGATATTGTATTATATGTATTATATACATACTACAGTAATGTCACTGACCTCCGCCGCGCGACCTTGGCGGGGTCACTGACTTCGGCCGCGCGACCGCGGCGGTGTTACTGACTTCGGTCACGTGATTACGATATATATATATATATATATATATACATTTATGCGTATATAAATACATATATGTGTGTGTATTATATATAGATATAGAATATTACATATAATATATGTAATATTCTCTTTTTTACCCTTTTCCTTGTCACGTGTTGGTTTTCCACTTCTCTCTCTCACTATTTTTTGAGGTTGATTTTCATGCGTTATTTCTGAAATTTCTCATATGTGTATTATATGGTTTATAAGACGTATATACTATCTGTCATCGCGGTGACAGGTTGTGTTCACTGACAACACGTTAAATAAAAATAACAATAGCGTGCGCGTAGCGCGCGCCTGTGTTGTGCTAGTACTATAAATTGTATTTTCGCAAAACAAAAGAAAAACACATGTTGGACTAATTTTCATAATATTATTTATTTAAGCCTAATATACAGTAATATCTATGTGTGTATAATATTTCTCTATTATATATATATGTATATAATATAGATCTGTTGTTTGTTTTCTTTGTAGTGAGATATACGTCTAACAGAAACAAAAAATATTGCAATTAATAAATTCATTGTTCGTACACAATAGTGTATTCAACAGCCTATGTGTCAAAGCGTTTTTTCCTATAGTTGTTTCTATACTTACAAATCGCTTTCTAGGTTTTAGTTTTTCTTTCTTCTTTTTTAATAATTATTATCAATGTGTATAGACAGAGTTTTTCGACTCTTATTATGACTTGATCGTCGAAAGTAGCAACACAGTGCTCCGTTACATATACATATATTATGTAGAATACGATCGATATATTAATACCCAACACGGACCCAACGCGCGTCCATTAGATGTCTAATGTACGTTCATAACTCCATGTGTGACGTTCAATGAACATCTAATGGAGATTAGTATGAGAATGTTAAGTTCCGTGTGGAATATAGTAACTTTTTCTTTTGTTTTTTACTTAAATAACAGAGCAACTCTCTAGATGTAAGTCACCTTTAGATACGCGTTGTTTAGCCGAAAGATTTTTCGCAAGCAGAAATGAGATATTACAATAGTGTGATAATAAAATGATAAAATAAGCCAACCAACAAATATCTGTTTCTTCTTCTCTGTCACACTTTTAAAGAACATAGTATTATATTTGATCTATTATATATAATACAGATAATATATATATATATATATATATATATATATATATATTGCCAAGTAATACATATGCTAATATTTTTAAGAGAAAATTCAAAATTCACTTTGAAATTTAAATTTATTATCACACGCGAAGTTAACATTATTTGATTACTATGTCAATAATCGGAAACATATGTGTTTGTGTGTGTGTGTGTGTGTGTTTAATGTGATAGAGTATCAATATAATTTATTCTTTCTAGAATTTATTTACCTTCTATATGGTACACATTTACGAGTCAGTTTTTGTTGTTCGTCAATTTCGAAGGAGCAAATTTGTCATAAATCTCTATAAAGTCTCTTTGGTTGTAAAGTTCTATTTTAAAAAATAACATACATTCCGAGTATATGAGATACAAAGTAGAATATATATATTTTTGTGATAAGAAAATCGTGCAATGAGGAGTTAGAGAATTGTTCGTTCGTTACGAAGTCACGTTAAATATTGGTTTTCGCAATAATAACGATTTGTACCTCGCAATTAAGTCAATCGGCAAAATCGAATCGGAATTTGGCGCACAGAAGTGAAGTAAATTCGTCCTGTTCGTGTTCCTTCAAAAATCATATTGTCTATGACAATGTTTCGTAGATGCGCAGGCAAAAAGTTTAATTTGCATCGAACACATCACGCACTCTCGAACAATATTTTGCAATTTTCTATTATGCTTAAAAAGAACTTTCTTGTGTGTGTGACATCGCATCTCTTCTACTTGATAAATTTCCTGTATTATTTCACTTATCATGTCTCGATGTTCAATATTTTAATATACGAATTGTTCTTGTGTAATTTATATATTTATAATACGTACACATAAATTTTTAATTTTACATTTTGAGACGATTCGTAATAATATATACATGTATGTATACGTTGATACACGTGTTAGTGTATGTGTTTTCTTTTGAACAACTGTGTTGCTTGGTTTTTTTTTTTGTTTTTCATAGTGATTAGCTGAGCGAAATCAGGCTCGAAAGGAGAACCTTTGGTGTGTAAACACTCTCGCCGAAAATAAAGCTTCCGTCAAGTTTCTCCTAATTACCTAGAATATATTCGGATCGTTATCTTTTTTCTCCCGCGCGATAAAAAGATCGGTCGATATACATATCAACTTAAAGCTTGACCATTAAAATCGTAATTGGTAAGAAACAACGCAATCGAAGAAAGAATATTTGTGAAAGTATAAAATGTATATATTCTAATGTATATACTCAACTATGTATTTGAGAAAACTTGCGCGTATATAAACTTATTAAATAAAAGAAATATTTAAAAAAATAAATAAATAAAAACAAATATACAATATTAAAATCACATCGGGAACTGAAAGAAACTGATTTGACATTAAAATAATTTAAATACACGGTGAGATTGAAGGGTGTTTCGAAAGAACACACACACACACACACGTATATATGTAATATATTATATATTATATAATGTATTATATAATATATTATATATACATACATATTCACAACTTCCTGACATGACGCGCGAAGTGGGTTGTTCAGATCACGAAGTTATCGGGTTTTTTTTTCTATCGAAATGCCCTTCGATACACCGCGTCAACGATCCCAATAAATTGATTCTTGTAGCAAATACGTCGACCAGTTATTTCTGTGGATGCAGACACGTCGTTGTCAAGGTCGATTCCATCATCTCTGCTCTTAATTTTCCTTCTTTCCAAATACCACCATCGAATCATGTTGTTTACACGTTTACGATGCTGTGTACACCGTCGTCCTTGCTGACAAATGCGGCGGATGAGCCACCACCCCCTGTTCCTCCTGTGCCTGCTGCCGTTCCCGTGCCTCCTGCTGGCGCACCCGCTGCGGGCAGATTCACACCCGGTGGTTGCGCACCCGGTGGTGGAAGATATTGATACGGCGACACTGGCGTTTCCGCCGGCATAAACTTCACTGAAATGTTCAAACATCGGTCGCATTAATTTCTGGCCTGTGGGCTGGATATTATTGGGATCGTGGGTGGAAAAGAGGAAACTTCAGGAAATTTGTGACGCGCATTTTAATTTCATAAAATCTTGTTCCTCAACAAAAAATGGGGAAAAGATACATGGGAGACGCGTTATTTTCACAGAAAAATGTTTAATACAGGAGTAAATCTTTTGTCTAAAGTGTAATTTCTCACCATTGTACACACTGGAGAATGTAAAATTATACAATAGCGAAAATGTCTAAAGAAAGAGTTTCTCCAAGTTTTAATTTTGCAATCGAGGGATGAGGCAGAGAATTGTAATATCGTGAACGGGAGAAGTTGCGAATAAGAAATGCTGCGAGAAAACAATTCTGATTTTCTCGATTTTGTTCTTTCCGAATTGCGGGAACTCTGTTGTTTTTCTTAACTATGGCACAAAAGTAACATTGTGATTTGGTATTTTTTATTCGCACACTTTTATAACGATTGACACACATAGAAACACATATAAATTTTAAACAAATAAAAAATATACAGGTTGTACACAACGCTAGAACACAGAAAAGTTGTATCGATATTTTTTTCTTTCTTTTTCTTTTTGACAGCTGTGTTATATTACATTGTGTTTTTTTCATTTCTCTCCCTCTTTCTTCCTCTCTTTCTCTCTAATTAGGATTTTATTTTTTTAAATAGTGTATAGGTGTATTGTCGCGGTTTATTTTAAATCTTAATACACTCGACATCATTTGTACATTAACGACAAACTGGAACGGTTGTACAAATGAACAGCGAGTTAAATAATTTTCAAGCAACGACGAAAATTAAAACATGTTAATGCGACATTCTCTCTTCCGCCTTCGACACGATCATCAGAAAACATAAAAAGTTGTACGATTCTCGTTTGTTAACAGCGATCTGATATAAATTTACTTGTGTCGAATGTGTAAAACAGCAGAAACCCATAAGTTTACCGAAACACAATGATAAAACACATATTTTTATTGAGAGAGAGACTTCGCAACTCAAACGCATTGAATACTTACAATACAGAATAGAAATTGTGAAAGAATGAAATTACGAATGAAATTACAAGATACGGAGAAAAACCAAATCTTGAAATAAATGCGCGAAGAAAATTGTATAATTTAGAAACTTAGACAGTTAACGAAAAATTATATATTTATGTATACAAAACAGTGATAGTTTAAAGAAATAAGTTTTTAAATATAAACAATTACAAGTAATTCTGCACTTAATGTACGATTTCACAAAATGGAGTTGCGCGACTGTTGAATCGAAGGAAATATCAAAACTGAAGTATCGACGGTGTCTGAATAGATAAAATAAAAAAAACAAATCAATATTCGACAGAGAAAGCCAAGCAAAGACTGCACAAATCTGTTGTTCTTACCTCCTGCTTGGATTTAACGGACACTAGGCTTTAATAATGATCCTCTTCTTGGAAGGCGCGTTGCAACGTTTTTTATTCGATCGTCAATGAGTCTTTAAAAAATTGTTATCGCGCGTCTTACTTCCGATTAGGAGTGAAGAAAAACTCTGTCCTCGGCAAAAAAAAACAGTGTCTCAGAGTTTTCACGTGCAACAAAAAAAAACAAAAATAAAAGAGAAGAAACTGAAACGTCACTCGTTCGTTCATCGAGAGCGACAAGGTCCGAAAATAAATCTCTCGGAGAATAATGAGGAGGAGGATTTTAACAAACAACAAAAAAATAAATTGTAACCATGATCGAGATTCCCCTCTTCGCTGTTGTGCTTCTTCATAACTTCAATTAATTTAACTACGCAGTGTATTCTTTTATTCGGTACTGTACAATGTTTCATCAAAGCGCAGGATTATGATCATATTTGTATAATAATTAAGGGGTACGTCGAACGGTTAAGATACAACACACTATGTGTTTATATATAAGTTCGTTAAACATAGAATGATAAACATTATAACTCGAGTCGTGTGTGTGGGCGGCCACTTCGCGCGACAACCTCAAAGAGTTTCTCATTTGTCGATCGACAGAGTTCTCTTTTTAATCTCCGACGGACTCTGACGAGTTCAACAAAGCGTATCGCACTTAAGCGACTCGTGGTCCCCAACGTACAATTCACATCGTCGACACATTAATTTTTCAATGACGTCGCGCTCGGTAACAAATACCTTTGAAAAATAATAATAATAAAACGAGTAACGAACTACGATTAATTTTCTTTTTTGTTTGTAATTTTTGTGCCGATTGACTGATCAAAAACGTGTCTTATAGCGGAAAGTTATTATATCGATATATATCCTCGCTTTTCCTAAAGTGAATACTCGCGAAAATGAGTGTGAATAAGGATTGCGTTCTAATCGATTGCGACACAATGAGAAACTTTTAATTTTTTTTTCTCCCCTTCGGTGAATCTCATCGCGTGTGTAGAAGTCGCTGCGGAATGGCGCCTGCAGAGATATTCGCGGACGTCGGGACGGGATCGGAGAGAGGAATAATTGCGGAGGATTGTGCGGTCGCGGAAGAGGACACTCGCGCATCGTATCTCGAGATTATTATTGCTGATTCAGCAGCAGCATTATCGAAATCAGAGAAGGACTAAAAAACGGAAGAGGAAAGAAGATGAGGGAGGATCGACAGAGATCGACGACGAGATCCTCGTCGTCGTTGGAACCGTTGTTGACGACGTGTTGCGTTTTTCCGTCGAATAAACGATAAGAGGATAAAGCATCTGTCGGTCAGATTATCCTTCAATTAGAGGACATTGTTCCATTTTTTTTTTTTTTTTTTTTTTTATTTATTTATTTCGATGCAAAGCTTATTCGCGAAACGAGACGATCAACTCTCTCGTCGTCGTAATCGTCAACGTTATCAAAGTTTTCATTGTAGTATTTTTATTATTATTATTATTAATTTTCATAGCATTTTTTAATTATTATTATTAATATTACTGTTATTATCGTAATTATATCATTATTATTAACATGTATACATAACATCTTGTAGATAATTTCTTAAAACATCATCTATCATTCGGTCGGTCTATGCCGCGGCGTATATTTCTTTCCTACCTCCCTTTATCCATCTCTCTTTCGATTTCTATCCTTCTCCCCTTTCCTCCATTGTTCTTTAATTGTCTTTTAAATTCTCTGTACACAGGTTACTCGGGAACTTGTAATCGTCGTCTTCGACGAAGGCAGGTGACTTGCCGCGCGTTAATACAAGAGATCGTGGGTTTTCGTCTTTTAACGAACCGCCCTTCCCTCTTCCTATTACACGTCTATTAAACACCACCCTTCGGAATTTGTGTCAACACAGTCACGTGATTGTTCATTGTATACGCAATAGCCGAGTGGCGAGAAAAAAATTTTACGATTCCGCATCACTGCTGCCGCAGTTCCGTTTTTTTCCGTTTTCTTTCTCTTCTCGCGTCCTCCATCCCTCTTCGGCGATTTATTCCTCTATAATTCGCAAAAAGTGCAAGAGATGTGAGATATAAAAAAAAAAAAAAAAAAATGAAAGAGACAAATGCGTGTATGTGAGATTCTCTTCGATACAATCGGAGCGGAGTGTTTGATCGGTTCGATAAAATGGCGCGCGCGCGAAGAACAAATGATATATTATTTACAGTTTCACATGATTTTACACATTATACGTCTATAAATGTTGCGTTCCCGCATATTCACCGCCAGTACTGAAAATCTATGTTTTCACGTCACATGCGCTATGAGATTTCCAGCACTGACAGTGAATATATCGGAACGCAGCCAAATTAAATGTCTGGATATACATACATCGTGAATGCGTTTTGTGTGTGCGAGCGAACGTGCATTACAGCGCAACTGCCTTCGTCGGAAAGATTTCTGTGTTGGTGATTTTCACAGATATCTCCTGTGTGTCTCTTTGTGTGTGTTTTCTTTCTTTTTTTCTATACATATATATATATCTCCTATATATTTATATATATATATATTTATATATATATATATGTATATATATATACATATATATTTTATATGTCTTACTGCGTTTTACAACAAATCTTTCTTCCCTTCGTCTCTTTTCGACTACACTCTTTTGTACACACGACAACCGTCTCTTTCTCCCTCTCTCATTCTTCTGATTAACAAAGATGGACCAAGATGAAAGTGTAGAACGCATTTATTTAATTACACGCGTTTATTTAATTAATCAACTGTGCTTATAATGACCGCGCGAGATCTCAACGGAATCGTTTTCCGCAATGTTTCAACGTCGTTTGTTGAAACTTTGACGATTACTTTAAAAGTATACCGCCTGGTTTAATCGGTCGCTATCGTCGAGATCACACGGCTATACGGGAAAAGATAAATCAACATCGCGTGACGCAGCGCGTACTTAAATGCGCGGAACGCGACATTTGCTCATCCCCGCGCAATTGCTCGTGTAGCAAAACGGGGTGAATTCGCCGCGCAAATGTTCGAAATAACACAACAATGGAATGGATTAATAACGGAGAATCCGGTGAGTAAAATCCCGCGAAAATGTTTAAAATTATCTCGCGTGCGCGAGATCTTCGTCCATTTCGCGGAGATACGAGACAGAGACGGTTCGGTGCGATTTTTTTTATTTTCTGTCTTTTCTTCCGTTTTCTCTGCTCGGATCCGATAAAACTACAAAGGATAGCAGATTTCGTGGCAAAGTTTTCGTGATCGTTGCGACGGCTCTCTTCGTCGTTCCCGCTCGTAATGTATAACGTCCTTCCTTCTCTCTTCTCTCTAATTATTCGCAGACGCCGTTTCTTCCTCGTCCGTTCGCGACGAATCCAGATGATCGATCGATAGATCGCCGCGCGCGATCGATTCGACATTATGTTCGCGGAGAACTCCGTCGTAGAGCTCGTCAACGGCTCATCACAATTTCCGTCTGGCGAGATCATCGGTATATTCCCCACATCCCCTGTGATTAACTCTCTCTCGCGTTCCTTCCTCTCCCCCCTCCCCCCACCTCTAAAAAAATCCATCGATCTTCTCTTCACGAATCATCTCTTTCCAATAGCTTCTCCTTCGTATTCCATCGTCTTGCTTATCTTCTTCCTTCTTTTAACCTCTCTTTGTTGTCGCTGTGATGAAATGGCTGTTGCGTTTTATTTTACTTTAGCTCTTACCCTCTCGCGCTCAATTTTGCGTATTACTGCCGCCGGTGAAGCTCGCTGAAAACAATAACAACATTTGTTCTCCGTACCACTGGATCAAGAACGGCGATGGGTTTTTTAATTCCATGCCGTGTCGCGTTTTATTTCTCCGTCTCTTCGGATTTTAATATTGTTCTAGCTCTGTTTGTACTTGTTTCTTTTTTTTTTTTTTTTTTAATCTATTTTTGTTTCTTTCGTTTCGCTTTTCTTTGCATGCAGAAACCGACGGATCGCGCTCGTCGTCGTGGACAAAAGTCAGTTGAAAAATTGTTTCATATAGTAATCTGATGTCGTGTACTGTTTTATAGTTTTTGAAACATTAAATGAAAAGTGGAGTTTTTATTGACCGCCATTGTGTCCACGACGGAGCATTTTTATAAACCAAGACTGAGTGGTTTTTAGCCATTGAGAGGATAGAAACACATGCGAGCGGGGGTGGAAGCTGGAATGCAAATGCGAGTACACACATCCAGTAAAGTATTATGAAGCTAATTCCGCGAAAATAATTAGCGGTAGAATAAATTTTTATTTTTGCCAGAAGTTCCGTCGTATGCAGTTTTATTTGTTGTAAACTCGTAACAAAACAATAAATATCGCGTCGCAGTTTGTTGGGAAATTCTGGCCACTAGAAAAGTTGTTGTTTTGCACTAGAAGCTTACACATTCCACATAACGTATAAATAAATATAAGCCATGCATTGCTATTTCAACGTCGGGTTTGGTTTTCTTTTGTTTCTTTTTTTGTTTTTTTTGAAGGAAAAATAATTTATATTGATAACGGCACATGCTCCGCAATATGACAGGTCAAGCACGAAATGCGAAGATCGTCCCAGAAACGTTTACTTGATTCGTCTCTATGAGTATTGGAGGAATGCGCTTTATTTATTGAAAATATGCGTTTCCTCGCAGGACGCGGTGTATGAGTATTTTCACGTTGTAACTAACAGTCGAAGAATGTTATTTAAGAGAGGAAAAAAAAATAAAAGAGAAATATAGAGAGAAAGAGTTAGAGAGAAAAAGAGAAACATGCAGAATGGAATGTGCATTATGTTTATTAAGTATGTGCACTAAATGAAATTAAAATTGTTATAATATGAATATGTATCTAAGAGCCAAATACAAAATTAACAGACTCTTACAAGAGTATCTATAATAAAAAAATTAATAATTGAAAACTGAATAAAAAATAAACGATACATACTTAGTGAGATGAGAGATAACAAAACTATATAACGATATAATCTACAAAATATAATGTGTGCTAAATTACGTTAAACTTTTCTGCATATAAGACCGAATAAATAATGAGAAATAATAAGAGAAAGTGCTTGGAGAAGAGATGTAAGTTGCATTTCGGTAGAAAAAGAGAGAAAAAGATAGAGAGAAAATTCATTATCGAGTGCTGCAATAAAATCATAGCTTACCGTTACTGAAGAGTATAGAATAGGATTAAACAAAAACATTTGAGAGGCCTTTTTTTTTGTTGTAGCTGTTGTAGTTGTTGTTTGATAATTCTTACTGTAGTTGCCGATATTGTGCTTGTTGTTGTTGTTGTTGATGTTGTCGTTTGTCGTTTGTCGTTGTAAATGTTTTTTTTTTTTCATTTCTTGTGTTTTTTTTATTTCTCGATGGTATTTTGTATATATTGTTTCTTTTTTACATTCTTGCCTCAAGTCACAATGTTTCGAAGCTTGGTGTAGAACATGTTCACACTCGGTGTTTTGTTTGTTGTTTTATCGATTAGACCACCAGAGACAGAGAATGTCAAAAATCACTGCCTGGGACCAACTTCAGAAAGAGGATAACCACCGAAAGTACAGACAAAATACATATAACAACGATTGCAGTCCGTAAACACACATGTATATATACGCAGGGTGAGGTATGGTTGTGTCTTGGAAAAACATTCCCTTTAAAAAGCAAATTCCGTTCATATTTCGGCATCCTTTGTAGGAACTGATACACATGTAATCCGTGTCCCTCGGGATCAACTCACACGCAATTTACACACGTCTAAGTTAAACGTAAAGGTTGTGGCACAAAATACGTATGTATGTATGTACATATATATACACGATATATATACACTGCAACAGTAAAAAAAACATTGTAACAATTCGTGCGTCTCTTCCAGTCGTCTTATGGACTTGAAGAGGAACGGCTCGGGCACATTTCGAGCAGAAAGTATTGTGAAAATTATTGATGAGACAACACACAGTCGGCAGCAACTTTTTTACTGCTTACACTTGCACGTTGTGTTGCGAAAGAAAAAGAATCCGCGAAATATGTGAGGGTGGATGCTATCGAAAATTTATATAGGTTGTTTGTAGTGTGTCGCCGTGGAGATTGTTAATTAAAGTAAAAACTTGAGGTAAAATCGCTTTCATAAATATGCAACGACTTCGGGCGGGTGGCGGAGAGAGCTGTGTATAACGCAATTCTTTATACACACAGATAAAATACAACAGATATGTATGATATGTAGTACACCAGCTATTACCTATCACAGGCAGACAGAGCACGTAACACCAACTAATAAGTGCCAGTTTTATAAACGTATCTATATTGAAAAACAAAAATAAAACAACTATATAAAACAATATTATTGTATTGTTACAATAAACAAAATATGATTTCTTATTGTAATTTTATCGCGCGCGATTTTATTCAATGTGACATTGTTTATTTAAACGCACAGTTTTTATTCAGTTTTTTTTTGTTTTATAAAACTGGAAGCACTTGACACCAAAATAAAATAAAAAATAAAAAAATTTCGAAAACACTCTGTGTGTGAGAATTATCAAAATATGTGAAAGTCCATATGTCGGCCGATAAACACAGCGAGAACACAATCACAGAGAGAGAGAGTTGTACACACAAGGTTTCGGGTTCACACACATTTTCTACAATACGTTGGAAAGAGGAGATACGTCATGGATATAAAGAAATAGATCCAGTATGTATTGGCTGCGCGCATTAATCTTTTCAAGAAGAAACAGAGAGAAAAACACGAGCATTTAACAAGGAAAACAAAACGTTAATGTATCTCTCTCTTTCTTTCTTTTTATATCACGTTTGTTGGTGCTAATATTCCACATATGCCGGTGAAAATACACGTGCAACACGCACACACTGGAATCTATTTTTTTTTTTTTTTTTTTTTTTTTTTTATGCCCATGAGCGAGGGAAGAAACGAGGGGTGAAGAACAACAATGAAAACGCAATGTCGCAATTGCTTTTTGTTTTCTACCTTCAGACTCACTCACACACAAATCTCTTCCACCAATCAGCGCGCCTACATGAAGTTCGCTAGATGGGAAAAGAGAGAAATACATAGAATTTTCACACGTGTTTAGATGATGAATGAACAAAAAGGGAGACGTATAAGTGTGACGCCGGTTTTCAGGCGGATTCACACACGTTGCCGCGACACGTTGTCTTTCTCGCGCATTTCATTGTTCTTTCGCGTACACGCGCGCTTGCGATAAAGACGTTTTTTTTTTTTTTTTTTACTGCAAGCGTGTTCTCGTCTCGTTTAATAAAATGCACAAAAATGACACGCGTGATGAAAACTTGGACTCGAAAAGTAAAGCGAAAGTTATTCCGAAGATGAGAAAGGAAATGCGCGCAAACGCGTTATTCGAAAAAGTTTTCGTGAAAATAGATCGAGATCAGATAGTTGTTTGACTCAAGCGAAGCACGAGACAACATTTTTCGTTTTTTGGCGACATTTCTTCGAGAAATCCGAGAGGGATTTCTCAAAAAAAAAAAAAAAGCTATATAAAATGCAAATCCGCGGAGATATGGAAGTTTCGCTCGGTCAACAATCGCGTCGTTCTTTCGTGCAAACACAATTATCAGTACGTCTCCTTAGCACAGAAAGTATAGATCGACAAAGAGACATTAGCCAAGAACGACTGATTCAGACACGGTGTGAACGCATCGTGCGAGCTGCAAAAACTTGGAACCCAGAAGTTCATCCAACCGCGCGCAGTAGAAATTCATACTCGTAGTCCGAATATTGATTGCGAACTCGGAGGGAGAGAGATTGAATATTAATTTCTACATCTAATTTAAGTATATAAAGCTCGCGTTTCGATTGAATCGCGACGAATATCGCGTCTGAAGATCGAGTGCGAAAGAAGAATTGACGAAGCTGAATTAGTCGCTCGTAATATACATGGAGACGCGAGAGATCACACAGAACATTTAAACAGTTACAGTGGCAGCTGTTAAACAAATCGTCAAATGCATCAGTCAACTTACCGACAATGATGGCCACTATGACGAGCGCGATGACACCCATGATGATCATCATCTATTTTGGGGGAGGTAGAAGAAAACAAACGGAAAAAAAAAGAAAGTTTCATTACTATAAAGGTACATCTTCACAAGACGTATAATCGCGTCTCATAAATGTGTCTCAGCTCTCGGTGCTCACCTTTAGATTTTGTAGCCAGAACTTTCTCTTCAATTTTCCCGCTTGCTGTTCGAATTGTGAGGCTCCTTGTTGGAGTGCATCTGCAAAAATCAATCAAACACGCGAGCGTGTAAACGCCTAAAATTCATATCAAACACGTCGTCGCATATTATTTATTTATTAGAAGAAGAAGTATTTGACGAAGAACGGAAACGAGTAACGCGACTTGTATAAAAAAAAAACACTCGGGAGAGACACGTTGTTGCGTAATAATATATGAGCGAAGCGAAAAGGAAATCGACGTTTTACCAGTTACGCTCACGTAAAACGTGGCATCGATTCGTCGCAGTAATCGATATCAACGTGTAGTCAGACGCGCAGGGTCGAGCCACCTTGTCGCGCCGCGATGTCATGAATGAAAAGGTGCGAGTATAGTGTCTTTTCGCGCGGATATATAATTTTTCTTTCTCTTAAGATCTCCGAGAACACGCGCTACTCGGACACGAAATGATATTTTGATAACGGGAAAATCGAACGCGGATGTACACATAAATCAAGCAAAACACACACAGGTGTGTACGAATCCATCTTCTCGAAATTTGTACGACATTCTCTTATAAATGGTACGATTAGTACGCTCCCCCTTACTTAAGCGTTAATTGTAATCTTGCAATAAATGACATCCGCGATGAATGAGGGTTTGATACAGAAGCGGCGAACAATAGCGTGTGACGCAGATAGAAATTAATGAATATCGAACGGCGAATGAACAGGGTTAGGTTCGCAACGCAACACCGGGGTAGGATCGATATGTGCGCGTTCGAATAATGTAATGTGTGTGTTAAAATTACATAGTACGAAACAACAACTCAACGACAAAGTGATCGCCACCGATTTCGCGAGAGATTATTGCCTCATCGGGTGATTATCGAGAAAAGTTTTCCGTTCCGGCTTTTCTCGAAGCCTTTACCGACGCAGAAAAAGCTCACCTGCTCGGTCATCGAGCTCCGAGAGCTTCTGATCACGCTCCAGGACCTTTTCCACGTTCGTCTTCATGATGTCGACGACCTCGTCGACTTGCGCTTGCGTGGCCTGCAACCGCTTCTGCGACGCGATCTGCTGGGGCGTCCTGGGGCCGCCGACGATACCATCGGTGCCCGCGCCTGCACCAGCCGCTGCATCCGGTGCTAAACCACCCTCCGTAGCCCTGAAGAAAAGAAGACAATGTCACGTTCCAAAGGTCGCGTGATTTTTGTAAAATACGTTTTTTTTCTACATCGGATTCACTCGTGAAAAGTAAAATCGATGAAAGAGAAAAAAAAACAATAAATCAGAGAATATCGAATAAAATTATGTTTTTGATATTCGAATGCGTGAAATAAATACGCGTCGGGGGAAAATGCACGTCCTGGCGAAAATGCAGGCGCAAAATTCTACATTCATCAAGTCAGGCGACACCGTATGTACGTATTACCGATGCGGTTGTATTTTACGATTTGCGCGTGCCAAGAGAGAAATTTATTTGTATTTTCTGAAATGTGCGACGTGTGTGCGTCTCTCTTTTGCGGCGACTCTAAAAAACACCAAAACAAAAAAAAAATGAAAAGAAGAGTGCAAATACGCGTGCGGGAATGAATGTCACTTCATCAGCGGATATATATGTGCGAGCCGCATGAATTTTAGCGTCGTCCCGCATTTGTTCCATGGTGTTGCGTGAGATTTTTCCCATATTAAATTGTCGCTGAAAACCACGTCGCAAAAGGGCAAAGTTCGTGACACGATTTCGCCATCCGCCTCGTTTAATGGCAAAAATTCGATGCGTAATAATACGGAGACGCGTACTTATTTCCTTCCCGTTTGTTCGCTAAAAGAAGAAAGTGAATGACAACGAGGAGACAACGACGAAGAAGAAGAAACGGTTTCGCGAAAAATCGCATCGCGTTTTTTTCGCGACAAAAAAGAAATTTCGAGGAAAAAGGTCGTTGGCAATATGACGCGCGTCTATTTTGAAAAAGATCGCAATCTAGAACACGCGTGTGTACACTCTCGTTCTGGGTAAATCGATCGCCATTACCTGTTGGTTACATTTATTCGCTCAATATTAGACACACCACACACACCCATACAATATTGTATATATACATCACAGATATTTTGATGCGTGTGTGTCACGCGTTGCGTATATACAATATTATTTCATGAGTTCTCTTTTATGGGATTTCCGACCAAGCCGACGTCCGACCTTTCGGAGAGATAAATAGCGAGACCTTTTCCCGGAACTGCTGCGAGTAATGTCAATCTAATTACGCAGCAACTTTACGTACAGCGGAGTATAATTGAGTTTTCCATTCATTTTTCCCAGACGTGTGACATTCTATCTTTCATCATAATCTCCGCGCTCGTTATATATAAACATATTCCTCAAATTAATTACGCGACCGTCAGCAGCAAGAACGAGAGCTGCACAATGCGTAAATATCAATGAGCGCAACAACCGCCGTATAGTACGCATCGCGGCGCGATCTATTAATTAAATTGGAAGAAAGAATTGCGGAGAAGTTTTGGACTCGATCGATTTTTTAGATTGCACGAGATTCATTGCAGAAATTTCACCGATCATCAGTGTATAATCGCGAGAAGGGTGAGATACGTGACGTAAATCGTGAAAATTACGAGTGTGTGTATGTGTGTGTGTGTGTTGATTTTATGCGGGTGTTCTACGTTTCGAAAAAAACGCCGACTATGCGGCGGATTAAAAAGCGCTCGACGCGGATGAGCTGCGGGTTTTATTTTTGGCCGAACGATCGAACAACCGCCGAGTGGCAACAGTCGATCGATCGACTATTCGAACACCGTCGCGCTGGAATAGTTAAACATAGAGAAGAGACAGAGAGAAAGAAAGAGAGAGAGAGAGAGAGAGTGGGTTGTGTACGTGTCTTCTCTCCCTCGGTATCATTTTCATTGAGATGTCGGACGCCGACGACGTCGGAATATTTCGGCCCGCCGTCTGGCATTTGCTACGACATTTCCACGCAATTCCATTTGATGCGTATTACGTCAGCGATATGATCAATAGAGGCAATAATTGCCATATCGACGTGATCCAAATTAATTGCTCAAATTAAGATGTAAACAATCGTCTAATTATATCGCATGCGATATGAACAACGTTCGATGTATCGGTTTCGCTCGACAAAAAATGCCTGCCGATATTATTAATTAGCTGCTGTGAAAGATGAGCTATACGGTAAAAAAAAAAAAAAAAACAAAAAGCTCAGTTGTTTGTGTTGGTTTTTCTTAGTTGCACGCTAATAAGTTTCGCTTAAATTCTCCGGTGCGGTGTGGGTGTCTTTGTTTTTTTGAAAATTGCCGTGCCGCTACTTTTTGTTTGCAATTCGAACGCTCGATGTATTTGTCCAAAGTTTTTTTCCGCTACACACACACACACACCGTCCGTCACGCATCGTGCGCGCGAAATCGGAGAAAAATATTCACCCCCCATGTGACGTAAAATAACGTTATATAATGAGATTAATACATCGATCGTGGGCGCGCTGCTTCTTCATCCTTGTTATTGGATTAGTACGCGACTGGCGCTGAATACTTATGGGATTTGCATCACATGGAGAGAAGTATATAGCGCGTTTAGAAAGAAAAAAAATCTCTTTGTAATTGATCCTATCTCTTTTTTATAGCGATTAATTGAGGAGTTCATTAAGTGCCGCTGAAACAAAAATAACGCTTTTTATCTTTGCGAATAACACGAAGCAAATTGAAATCGCAATGTGATACGCAATATGACACGTCGAACCAATGCGGCAAATTAATTCGACCAAATTAATCCAAATTGATTTGAGATAATGTGAATTCACATAACATATATACGTATATATACATAATAGGTATGTGATGTGATAATAATGATTAAAGGATTGGCGTCTATTTTCAGACGAATTCCGCGAATCGTGTCAAAGGGAAAGCGGCGACTTGCATTAAGCCGGTTCGATCTTTGATAGCAGCACCGGAACAGCAAGAGCGGGGCGCGTGTTCTCACGGCCGGTTCGCACAGCCGCCTCCGAAGATTCCGTTGGGCTTTGATCAATCCGGCGAACGGTTCATTGTTCGCCAAGCCTGCGACAGGGTGCGAACGAATCTTCTCGCCGTCTAGCAGCAAAACCGTAGAGCATTGCCGTAAATGTGTGCTCATCATTGATTATCTAAATATAGAAACGAGCTCTCTTCCTCTGACATGTAGTGGCAGAGTGTGTGCGTCGTGCAATTGATCCTGGCTCTATGTATGTGTGTGTGTGTGTGTGTGTGTGTGTGTGTGTGTGTGTGCGTGCGTGTGCGCGCGCGTATTGTGTGTTCGCAATTAAGTTTCTGTTCGGTTTATACATTTAAGAAGCGGGGCGAAATGCGCACAAGGTGCCGCAAAGCCTGTATACTCAGAACGGCACACGCGAATCAGAATTGAGATCACAAGAGAGCGAAATTCGATCGATCGGGAGAAAGTTTCTCGCCAAATTCCTTTTTCTCGTTTTTCATTTTCTGTTTACACCAATCCAATCTCAATCCCTAATCCGTAGTCTGATAAAGACTTGAAGAGATCATCTCGCCGAGACAAAAAATTTTCCTTATCGAACGTATATTGATAACACCAAATGCTCTCGATATTGTCTCTGAAATTAAATTATCATATGTCTGTGTCATATGTAAAAAGTTTGCGTCGTATTTCGCGCTTGTCGACTGTGTGCGTGCGCGTGTACGTGTTGCGACGACGACGAATGGGCGATGTCTGAATCATCCTCGCGTTTCTCTATCGAGATATTGTTCAAGATCGCGAAACACACGCGGAGCAGATATAAGATCTGCGACATAACTGTTGTTTTGTAATTATGTTATTTCGATTGATCGCAAAATAAAATGCGCGCAATTGGAAGCTAAATGGGAAATGTGCGCGAGAGAAACGAGGACGATAAGAAACAAAAAATAGACGGAATATATTCGTCCGCTCGCGCGAGAGAAGCGAGATTTATTTTTCAACACGTTTATTCTGCATCGTAATCCGATTCGTGTGGTTCTCAGATCTTTTTCGTTCTATATTTCATATTTCAATTACACACCAACGTAAATGAGTAAATAAAGAAATGTAAACACACACGGTGTTCCAATTAATATTACAAAAGTGTGGGAGTTGGAATAACATAACGCGCTCGTACGAAAAAAAAAAAAAACGTGAGAGATATCTCACGTTTAACACGGGGCTAAACATTTCACGCGCGCTAAACGTGTGCGCGCTTGTGTTTTATCAATATTTTTTTTTCCTAGATCGACTTAGGGATGTTATATGGTCTATAAAAAAAAAAAAAAGAAAAAAAAACGTTCGAGAAAAACGCCAATCAAGATCGCTGCATTGTCGTGCATCCGCCGAAGGACACGATCGAACATCGTATATGTGTGCGTGTGTGTATATATATATATATATGGTTGGCCGTCTTTCGAGTCAATTTCTTTCGACGAAATCTGGTCTCGCGCTTCGAAGCTCCGTTGCATTCTATTGGAAATTCTGCCGTGTATCGTGGACAGAGACGGGACGGGTCGTGCCGGAGGGATCGATTGGCGACGACAAGAGCCGCGGCAATTGCGTCTTAAAACGCATCTTACACGTCGTTGCGATTCTCGCCACGGCATTTGCCGTTTGCTCGCGCGATTTCTTTTCTTGTACCGACAAAGTTCATCGATCGCCGCGTTCCGCGCGAATTCTCTTGCACGTAAAATTAATCGCGAAAAGCTTAATAGAGCGCGAGGAATCCGAACGCGGTCTTCGATCCGCCCTTACAATCGCTCGTTATTACACACACACGCACACACACACACACATACTCTCTCTCTTTCTCTCTCTCTCTCTCGCTGTGCAATCATATGTCGAGCGCGTTGCAGTTTGTACTTCTTGAAGAAGGTTCTCGCGCGACCGTTCGTGTCCTCGATTCACACCACTCACGAAATGGCCACGGAATTCACCCCGGATGCAATTCTACGGAATAATCGCCATTTGTATCGTCGCGTTCGAACGTGAATCGGAAGTAGAAAGCTCGATTTCGTAGCTCGCGACACTCGATGTTTCCGATCCTCGCAATTTTTGCGTCGAGCGTGTATATAAATTTTCATGTAGGAAGTGCATCGAGAGAGGAAATGCACCTCGATATAGCGCAACGCGCGAATCGTCTCTCTCTCTCTCTCTCTTGAATACGTGTGTATGTATGTGTGTCATCTTTCGTCTATATTCTGCTAAATGTTAAATTTCTAACGATCTCTCGAATATGTCGTCAAGCGAGTCACAATGACTCGCCTTCGTTAAAAGTAGTAATTAAGAGGCTCGATACGCGAGCTCCACCACCGTCGGGTTTTCACGGATTATACGTAACGAAATACGTACGTCTCCTCCTCGCGACATTCTCGCGAAGACCTTCGTTGTTCCTCCCCGGCGCGGACAGTTACACGCGCGTATTATCACATGTGTACTCACATGCTTGTAGATCAGATCGCTTTCGGGTGTTTCTATTCCGGCAGTCCTCGTCGATTTGTGTCGATCGGCTTACGTACGGTGGCACCCTTCGTTCAAGTCGGTCGGGAGTCGATCGGTGCTCTCGGCGCGTACTTTTCGCGAGCGACTGCCAGCGAGACTAGATGGCCGCCGCGGTATTGATAAAATTTCCAGCGACACGCCGTCGCGCGATATCGTCGGCATGCGCGCGCCCCAGCGATATATCTCGATCTCGTCCACCCTCGAGCACCAACTTCCGCTTCCCACGTTCGCCGCGTGTTCCGCGAAACCGCCACTCCAACGATTTTATTCGCGATCGCTCGCGAGACTCGTTGTGCAGACGCTCCCGATTCACGTACGATCGATCGGTGTTTCGCGCGAAGCAACGAACGCACGTTCGAAAAGTGCGCCGTGGGCGTCGAGAATCGATTCCTCGAAATGGCGAGGTCGACACACGGCGCTACATAACCGTTCGATCGCGCACGCGCGACCAATTTCAGTCAATAAACGCAACCCTCGCAACCCTCATGCGCGAACACACCCTGACGGACCCCAGGAACGTGTTGTCCGTTTTCTCACGAGTCGTCAAAAAGGACTTTGGCAGCGGAGATTTAAATTGAAACAACTAACAATTCTTAATTTACACAACTTAATTTTTAAAAAATAATTGATAAAATGGCGCTCTGCTTTGATATTCTGACATTCTTAAAGTGCTTTAAACCCTTAAACAAATATGTAATCTAAATTGCAAAATTTTCTAGGAAATCTATTATAGGTAATAACGGTACAAGTAGTACTTGAAAATTTACTGCATTATTTAGTCGATTGTCGTTGGGGACAAGTGATTGGAAAAATAAAATCGTATCGCGTCGTAGAGTTTTAATCATTTTTGTCTTCGACAAAAATTGAAACCGTGTGTCTTGCGTACGTTCCTGACGACGCGGTGCAAGTGCGCGCACCAAGCATCCGCAACATGTTTTATTTATGCCCCTGATTGCGATTTTCGTCGTGAGTCACATCGTATCACATCACAGAGGACGACGCGCGTTCAAGATGCTTCTGCGATATTGTTCGTACGCCCGATTATGGCAGCTCGTAGCGGTAAGTGATCTCATTTTCTGCGAAAGAATACAGTTTTGTGTATTAAATTATATCGTCACCATATTGTGTGCGGACATTGCAGCGAGTTTAACTTAATTTTTCTGGTTGAAAAAAAAAAAAATGGACGCCCGAGAGAGTCGCCGCACGGTTCTAATTATCATTCTCTCGATGCTTTTTTAATTGTATTTTATTTTATTCTTTTTTTTTGTTCATTTTATTCTTGTTTCGTTTGTTATTTCGTAGAACACACATCGTATTATTGGGAAAATAATTTAACGACAACGTTGCGTATAAATTATGACAGACGTGAGTTGAATTGTTTATAACGCAATTCATTACACGGTTTACAATATCATGAAATTCTGCAATTTTACACCGTGCAATTAATTTATGACAAATTCGCGTCTCTGCGTATGCCAAAATGATTAATTCGGTCGTGTGCGCGCGTTGAAAACATTTTTTTATGTATTTGTTACGTTTTGTGTATATTTTATTGACATTAAATGTATCGTGTCGTTGACATACAATGCAATATTGATTGCGTCAATTGTCGCACGACGAGAGAAAATTTGCGGTCACGATATAACAAATTTGTCGTGACTACACACAGAAAAATGCATACTGTATCAAGTATATAATAAGTTTATATATCCGCAAATATATTATAAGATTTTCGTAAGTATTTAATTTACTCAAAATACAAATTTACTAAGATTTAGAGTGTATTTTGAGTAAATTAAATACTTACAAAGATCTTATAATATATTTGCGGATATATAAACTTATTATATACTTGATACAGTATGCATTTTTCTGTGTGTACGTTTTGCAAACTTCTCGATTAGCAGGTTGTCGTTTTTATCGATGGAGTTCTCTTGTTGTCGTTATCACGCTTTTAGATGGCGCGAGAAGATATTATTTTGTGTTTACGTACGAATATGTCATACGCACGTGTCATCAATTTCGTGCTAAACTGCAACGTTTCACAATTAATTAATTAATTATATAGCGACAACATAACGAAATTTATCACATTTTACATATGTGTTACACCAATTTGTAGAAAATCACTTAACTGAGCCTAGATTCAGTCTTGCTGTCTCATTCGTTTCACGAGCTAAGCATATTTTTTTTTATTATATCCTTGACGTCATGATATAATCATGTGACTTGTCATGCGTCCAGGTCAGGCAACCTCTTACGTTATTAACTTTTAACAGCGTTATCTGATAGAGATAACAAGAATGAATTAAAAATCAATATAATACGCATTCTTTCCACTAAATTTTGAAAAATTTTTTGCTTCTACTCGAGGTAATGATACAGTTGCACAAAGATTGAGAGATTGTCATATTAAGTAAGTTTGGAACAGAATGTGACAATAAGTTTTAAGAAATAGTTTGATCACAAGTAATGATGTCTCAACCATTGTGTTAAATTTTTTCGACCATTGTGTGTTGTAGAAAAAAATTACAAAGAGTAGCTTCTACTTGTTTGTTAAAAAAAAAAAAACCATGTACAGATTTTTGTGACTATTATTATTTGTATATCTAATGCGCTTCTGTAGTTTCAGAAAAACTGAAGTTGTTATCTTCAAATCTCCATTGTTCTCAGTAACAACAAAAGAACGTGACAAAACAAGCACAAAAGAAACAGATCTTCTCATCAATCTCGGTAAACTGAATCGGCCGATTATAAGCGTCAACTGTTGTCAATTCTAAACGACTAACGTAATTGGTCGATTCCAATGAAATAATCGGTCGATTAAGTCAACCGAAGTCGGTGACTAGCTCTAGAAATAAATACGTGACGCTACTAAACGCGCCAAGTAGATAGATACGGGGATATCTACCTACTTACGTTACTGACTCGCGATTAGTTTTTTGAGATTGTCGAACCTGCTCACACGTCCGCTGTTGGCTCACTGTAACAGATTGTATCAAGTCTGACTCGTTTCTCATATGAGTAATTTGTGACTGTTGTGTGACATTTCGTTTTTTTTGTCTGCGTATTTAATTTGTCTCTAATTTATTCCTACGCACAAGCAAGTTTAGGTGAGTGACATTGAACTTGTGTAAAGTACTGAGATTTACATCATACGCACACTCATGTGTTCTCTACAAAGCGATGTAACGTGTTTACATGAGTCAATAGTAGATTGATTATGTCTAATGAAGCTTCTTGGTTTTTATCATGCACATTTTACGCACATCTTTTCTTTATTTATATAATTTTTCTCTACTTATAAATAAAGAAATATAAAAAGCGTGTATTTGGCGAATAATAAAACATGTTAATAATGAATGTAAAGATGAAACTCGTTTGGAAACATATGTACAACTTTAAGGTTATGGGCGTGTGCTCGTCAATTCGTCGATAACACGATTTCTTTAAAGATTCTTGCAAAACACGCGTTGTGTTTTGCATTATTTACTTCTGATTACGTCGAAATTGTGTGCGAATTGACGAATATATATTTGCCAAAGAGCGAAATTGCTCACGAATATGGGAATAAGGTTAATTGTGAGATGTTCGTTTCATTGCTTCAGAACTATGGAGGGTTCCGGAGAAGGAGGAGTGGGTGGACCGCACAACACACAGCAAGCTGGGGCAAGCAAAAAGCTGCAGCAAACACAGGCGACCGTGGACGAAGTCGTTGGCATAATGAAGGTTAATGTTGAAAAGGTGTTGGAACGAGATCAGAAACTTTCGGAGTTGGAGAATCGAGCTGACGCTCTTCAAGCGGGCGCGACACAGTTTGAACAGCACGCAGGAAAATTAAAGCGAAAATACTGGTGGAAAAATCTCAAAATGATGATCATCATTGGCGTTATATGTGTTGTCATATTGATTATCATTATCGGTGAGCGAGCACAAATTAAACACACATGTGTTCCTTTACGTATAACAAATGTGTCCTTTATCCTAACAATCTTATTTTCTGTTTGTTTACAGTTTCGGCTCTACCAAGTTCATCGTCGGACAACTCGGACAACAAGTCTTCGCAGTGATAACGTTGTACCAAAGGAAAGATGTCATTCCGAGATCCGCCTTTCTTTCTCTCTCTCTCACTCTCTCTTTTAGGATAAGCTCTATGTGTTTGATAAAATATCGGGGATTTACAAACTAAAGCACAACACAAATTTGTGAAAAAACTAACGACTGAGGAGTAGTAAAGTTAATATTATTTTAATATTAATTTATAAAATGTAACATTGGGAATAGAGAGAACATATTTTTGAGACTTATAATATTGTATATCAAAATGCACAACGATCAGATCAACAACCAGTATTAACACAGGTGGTTTTTCTTTTAAAAACAAACAATTGTCTAAATGTTTGCACCCATGTTAATCTTGTTGCGAGAACGCTTGCAAGTTTATTAAAATAATATATTTGTATACTCTTTCCGCCGAGTTTACGTTGACATTGAATCTCTCTGTTTCTCAACCTCCTATTTCCATTCCATTTCGTATAACATAGTAATTGAAACCGTTCGAAACGCAACAGTTTTTTTTTTGTGAAGCAAATTATATCCTACTCTCGTAAAATATACAATTAACATTATTTCCCTCATTCCGACAGCGTCATATTTAATAATATCGGAGACGTTAAGCGGTACGTAACGTAATTCACGTCTCATTAGTTAGTGGCGTAAAAAGCGAGCGCTGCGCTAAATGAAGGTAATCAACGCGAGACGAGTATTTCTATTGTACGCGTCACGTGTCTCTTCGCAGGTTTCATCTCGAGGAATGTGCTTGGAAAATGCAATTATAAATACATTTACGCTCCTCGATAACCGGAACGAATAAATATCGAGTTGTTCTTTTATTCAATTCGACGAGGATTGTTTTAAACTCAGAAATTTATCTGGATATATATAAATTTTACTCGGCAATTGTTCTGTTAAAACTGGAAAAGGTCACTTCTCGCGAAGGAACCTCGTTTAATCTACGCCTACGCCGGCATCGTTAAATTCACCGTAAAAAGAATATCGCACGCGCGATAAAAGCGGTATAAAAAAATCTTCACACATTGCGAGTTTATATTATAGCGCGAGTGCAATGTTAATTCGCGTGGAAAAGTATTTTGATTATTTTTAACCGCGCACAAAATTGAATTGCAAAAAACTCGCGACGCTACGTGCAAATAAGATAAGGAAAGAAATGGATTAATCGATGTCGAGCACTGATACGCGGTTTCTTGCCATTTTGTGCACGCGTTATCTTTCGGATCGTTCACAAGAAGTGAACTCGAACTCGCTGAGAATTGCGGGTGGGACTTTTACGTATGTATATCATCGAAATGTGACGCGGAAAACGAGATGTATAACAAGCCTTCTCGATGACCAATTAGTACTATTTTTGCGTCGATCGTCGCACGTCGGCGAGTTTTGACGATCAAGGTCGCCCTTATTCGCGAATAGAACATCCGCTTCGACATCGAGACGAAACGATGACGAAACGATGACTTCTTTAAGAAGAAAAGAAAGAGGCTCGTTGTTCAGCTTTGACTCATTGGACAAACTTGTTGAACGTGTCTCAAAATTGTCACGCGACTTCTTCGCGATCGAGTGTGCGTCTCTACGAGGAAATGTCACTTCCAACGCAAATGCTCCTTCAAGCACGGCGATAAGGAAGCCTGGTTTTGCGTCATCGTGTCCTCGACGATCGGAATCCGAGGAATCGATCGTGGAGAAATCGATGAGCAGCAGCACATATCGCACTGTCTCTCTCTCTCTCTTAACGTGCGCGATTTTGAATTTCTTGCAAATACCGTGACTGAAATCTCCGTTGCTTCATTCATACACCTATCAGTCGGCTCACGACCGTCCCGCCGGGCAGTCAGACGCGCTCGCGAAGCGCGCGCTTGTCGCGTCTCGTCACGAACGTCAGATCTCTCTATGTTGCTGGCGACGCGAAATCGAATCGACGATCTTATGACAGAAAAGTTTGGCACCTCGCGACCTCGACCACGTGCGCGGGACCGGTGCGCCGCTTATTGCGCGCAAATATTAAAAGTTTTCGACCCGGCGGTTTTGGAAATCGATCTTCGAGTGATACTCGCTCGAGAATTATCGAAGATGATGAGGTGTAATTTCGCCAAGCGTTTTTCAATTTTATTGTATTCTTAATTTTCGAAAAAAAAAAAAGAAAATTGAACGCGAACTTGCGGACGATCGCAAATGTACAAAATATCTTTCCTCGAACAAGTGTTTCTTAATTTTTTCTTATTATCTTTATTGGCGCAAAGTTCGCGAAGCAATATTGTACGCGATATCTTCGATTCGCGGCGCGAAATCAATTGTTGCTCCTATCGACAGAGAGACCGATAGCGCGTTCGGACGTGGCGAAGACCAATCTTGTATCGTTCTCGTGACGCGAGTGTACTTGGTTCGCGAAACGTCCCGCGTGCGTCAATATTTACAAGTTCGAAAGTCCTCCCCGTAAGTGACGCAAACACGATCGCGTTTCGCACCGTAAGACGCTGTCCGATCGTGCGACCGGACGCTTTTTGTTCGGCATCGTCGCGCGATCATTGCACAGGCTGGTTTGTGTTTGCACAGTGACTGGACGATATTTTCATCGCCTTTATCTCGCTCTTGCGAATGTTTTCGCGCTACGAATAATCACCGCGAAAGTTATCGAGTCACGTGACGTCGTCGCTGCACTTTTCGCGCATTTTCTTGGTGCCCGAGTGGACGCGTCGTCGATTTAAATCGCGAGATTCGTTCGACTTCGGTTTTTATACGCGCGTTGCGGTCGAAGACGGAGTGAAGAGACTTTACGTGTATAAATTTGAATTTTACGATACATTAAATACACACGCAAGTGACAAGGCCATCACAGAGAGCAGCGCGGTCTTATCGATGCGATAAATTCGACGTAAAGTTGCTTGACGAATTCACTAGCTGTGAAGACGCAAAAGTGAGACTCCCGCGGCCGGTTCAAGCACGCGAGTACACAGTTTGATAATTCGTTTTATATAAAAAAAAAAAAAAAAAAAAAATAATAACATCCGCTGATTTCGTTTGCCAAAGAGAGAGAGAGAGAAAGAGAAAGAGAAATTTTTATTTCAAGATAAATCTATCTCAAATTTTGCACATTACGTAATCGAGGTTTTTGAACTTGCAATTCTTCCGCGAGAAGTGGAACGTCGAAATTACTGAGGTAGCACACCGAGTATTGGCAAACGACGCCGGGGCGCCGTGTGTTTGAAGTGAAGCGTGTCATCGATGAATTTCCGTCGCTGCGAGGAGAGAAAACCAGGAAGAAGGAGATTGACTGTCTTCGATAGCCAGTCGTGGAACACTAAGTGCTAAATTTCAACGTGAAGTTTTTACCTGAAATTTTTCTCCTCTCCCATCTATATCTCCCTTCTTCACCTCGTCGCTGAAGTTTTTTCCGAGACGATCTTTCGTAGGTAATTGAAAAAGTTTTCCCAAGTTAGTCGCTCTCGTCCCTCACGAGACAGGAGGTCAAGATGGCATCGTCCAGCCGAGGAAACGAGGAGTACGGACGAGGAGTACTGGGATACCAGAACACCTTGGTAAGTACTTCTGAATTTAACGACGTACTGCAAATTGAGATATTGGATATTGCGAGTAATATACTGTACGAGTTTCTGGAACAAATAGATACCAAAGTTTTCAGAGCTTTTGAAACTTTGAAGAGTTTTCGAGAGAAAAAACGAGTAGACAATTGCGGAGAGGTTTGAATTAAATGTAAAGTCTGAAAAAAATTGCGATTTTTTAGCACCTTAACTAGTTCGATGATTGATAATTAATCAAATCACAATTAAGTCTCATCTTAAATTAATTTTTAAGTAAACCGTGAGTAACCGAAGAAGAAATATAAAACGATTGTAACGTAAGTGAATAATTTTAGTACTGAAATGATATACGTCGCGGCTCGTATATGATTCAGTAAATTAAAAGCAAATTTCTTTCTGAGAATGACGGATGCAATTATCAAGCCTCTCCGCGCTCTTGCAACAAGAACAAAAACCAACAATGTTAAATATACTTATCATTAAGACAAACTCGCGAGAAAAACGAGAGACGCATAAAAAAAGTGAAACATACTATTTGCTAATTAGTTATTAAATATTGCTAATGATAATTCATCATGTAAAAATAATTATGTATGTCACATTGAGAACTAGAATTTTACAGTTTCCAGTCGATTCTGCTGCGGATGTGGTTTTATAATGAGCGCGAGTATTATAAAATTCATCATTTATCATAAGATTCATAAATTTATCTACATGCCACTGAATCGCATAGTTCCGCGAAACCGCGAGTTGCGTACTATACAACGGTTTTGTTATTCGTCGATTACATCGAGGATTGCAATTTTATCGTTTTTTTTATAAAAAACTGAACTCGCTATTTAATAAAAAAATAAAACATCTCTATATTAAACTAAATATTTTTTATCATTTTAAATGTGAGTGAAAAATATTTCTAAACAGTAAATGCGCATATGAACTGTATATATATTTAGGTTAATGCACTGATGACGTAGATAATAAATTTTCGGAGTACAAACAAAACGCGATAACCGAAAATATTTTCACGCGGAGCGTGACTCTTGGTCGATTTAAATGTAATAAAATTCCCGACTTTGAAGTTTGTCCAGCTGCGCGATGAGAATTAAAGAGATCACTCGTGATTTTTCGGAACTACGTGAGATTTCTAAATCGCCGCTATCTATTTTCATCTGTTTTCTTGTGTGTTTTGCAACAAGTCGCTAGAAAATCCGCGCGATTTCTAAAATGTCTGCCAAGTTTGTCCGAGAGGGAAGGAATTTTCAAACTTTTCGCGTAAAATAAGAAAAATATTACGATTCGACTTCGAATGGAAGATAAAATCGCAAGCGTGAGGTACATATTTCACGCGGTAATGTAACTCTGTAATCGCCGTTTGTTCATGATCGATGATGCACGTGCGTGAGAAACGAGTCACGTTTAAAAATTCGTTGAATATGCATGTTTCTCGCTAATTCGCGATTTCAGTTGCATCTGCGAATTTTTCGTATTCTCTCTTCCGTCGATTTTCTCGTGTTCCGATGTGTTTGTTTGGAAAAAAAAAAAAATCACAAACTGAGGAAATTACGATAATAAAGAGCGATATACAATAGTAAAAATAAAGCAAAGCGAAAAGATAGTATTCTCAAGTTTTGAAGATCACACAAAACTGCATAAAAATTGTAGCGCAAAACGTTTTTTCAAGCGTAAAGATTGCGCGGAAGATGAAAATAAAAATTAATTAGTATTAGTGTAATCTATATACACAGTGGCAAAGTAGTTTGCCAGCACGCGTGTTGTCATTCTAACGCAAAGAGCAATTTATTTTGTGTTACGTTCTCTAGAAAACAAACATATCTCTTGCTCACGAAATTATTTTCTGCAATGAGCAATCGTTTGTAAAAAGACGCATTTAAAATTAATTTTACAACCCTTGTTGTTTGAGATAATCTTTCTTTTATTTTATTACGTTTTTATTTTATTATCTAAATATTTTGAAAAGCAATTTTATGGTGAATTTATGCAAGAAGCAAAATTGCATTTATTTGCAGAGGAATGTTTTTTTCTTATTTTTCTTTTTTGTAGTTTTCCTACACACAGAAAAATAATTGCTCTGATTGCTCTGTACGTCACGTGTGGATCTGTCACATGCTACCTTGCACGTGATTTAAGCGATTACCACTTGTGCAATTAAACGTTGTCGCTCGATTGAAATTCGGCGGCTGTGAAATTTACGATCGCACGTGAGCTTCGCGATAATCGCGCAATGTGTTTATAATTGAACGTCGTTCGTAAATAAAAATATCGATGATCAAAGTGTGCATTGTAAATGATCATATTATTAAAATGCGCTTTGATTCGAATCATTTATTCCCGTTCGCGCAATTTATTCGCATATTCTCTACGACACTTCGAGTATCGTCTCGCGAGATGTTTTCGATATGTGTGCAACCGAATTCTCACGATTACGTTATCGTCGAAATAAAAAAGTCAGCTAATTAAAACCTGATATAAATTATTACTCATATATAACGCGTTTTTTTTTTTATTACTTGGGTTGTTAAAACAAATATTACATACAAAGCATATAGTAGCAAATATTCAGTGGACGATGAAAATATTTAATTTATGAAATTCCTTGCGTTATTTTCCCTCCGAAACCAAATACCTGTCAGTTTTCCGCAGCGTTATCTACAATCTTCGAGCCTCGCTTCGGAGCGCATATTTATGGCTGTCGCGCGTTAAGTAACACTCATAACCACGTTTATGAAATTAAATATTTATGATGTAATCTTGCAAATGTGTGTCGCGGGGTATATGAATCATATAGGCAAACCGCCTCAATTTGATTTGACGTGAGATATGCGCGCTACGGCCGTTCGTTGCGAGGTGTTCTCACAGAAAGTGCAATCGAGAGGCTTTTTGTATGAACACAACTTTACATATATAATATAGCTTTTCTCTGCGCATTTCTCTCTGACGTTATATTTTATAACAACAAATAAAATAAAACAAACTGACCGACCGAGTCAAATAGTATTAATAAAAAACACAACTGATTTAAAACACCTCAAAATCGTTGTACGAACGCCGAAAGCGTAGAATAATTCGATCGACACCTGGAGGACGCGCGCAACTCGCACACCATCAAGATCGCACGCTAAATGACCTAATCGCGTCTTCGATTAGATCTCTAATTAAAATCTCGGCATTGTGCGAATTTATTTCCTCTTATTTTAATTCGCGCTTGACATTGTATAACAATAAGTTACATAATAGAAAAATGCGGCGATGAGACAGAGGAGCGTTTTTTTTTCTTACGATCGTTAGACGACACGGAACAGTTCGTTGGACGATCCACTCGGGAGGAATCTCAGCTCCGATCCTCCTAGACGATCGATCGGTGCGTGCGCGAGGAGAGTAACGGTATTCCGCCGCAGCATTACTTAATACAGTGCGACGTTTTTTTTTTCGCGCGCACGCACGCATCCGTCTCAAGGCTTTTCCTCGTTCTCCGCGATGTACGTATGTGTGTGCGTGTGTGTGTGTACATGTGCAAATTATTCGTTCGCACGCGAATAATTGATAAAAAAAATGGAACAAACGCGAGACGAATCGATTACTTATGACTTCGCGTGATTCGCGGTCGAACTTTATTTGTTTCTTATGTCAGATATCGCTTGCACGAAGCGGCGATCCGTGCATAATCAGATCGCATGCATCACGATCGAGACAATGAGTAAATCGTGCCGATTTCATATAACATATCGCAAATAATACGTTCTGTTTACGTAACTACACGTAAAGAGAGAGAACGTGGACGTTAACGTGTCTTTACACATTTACCAGAAACATATTATATTTTTAATTAAAAGCGCGCGTTGTGTAGAATGTTTTTTTTTTTGCGCAGACACAATTCCAAATAACGGTATAATGAATAACATCGACTAACTTTTAGATCTCGCGTAAATGCGGAGGCGTTAATGAACCGTTTTTCTACTTACTTCTCTTTCCTCCGTCAGTGAAGGGATTTGCAAAATTGTGTCTACAAAACACACATTTCAACCTGAAGTTATCCGATCGAACTCGCCAATTCTGAAATCCTCAGAATTTGTTCAATGTGATCAAAAGTTAAACCTTATCTTTCCTAAGTGTCTTTTTTTTTCCTTTATTTCAGCAAGAAAGAAAAGTGTGCTCGTGCGGAACACTATCGCAAATACAATAATATTTCAGCAATAACTTCGCATTTACATGACGTTCAGTTGAAATGCACGTATTCGTCTCGTTACGCTTCACACGGCGTATTATAATCGAAATATAATTAATTAAACATATATTTCTTATCACTCTCGAGATAATCTACTTGAGATTAAAAAAAAAAAAAAGGTCGCTGCGCGTAAATAACTTACGAATTTTAATCGAGTTTTTAATCGAATTTTAATGAAATATTTATTTCTGTCACATCTTTCGTAAGCTTCTTGCCTCATTGTATCGAGCGTATATATGCTTTGTGTATACACACCTACAATACACTATCGTTAGTATCATTTCGACACAACGACAAAAGCGCTTTCGAAGCTCCCGCCAGAAGTCACGTCACGTCTTCGCGAGTGTATCGCGAAGCGAGATCGCGGTTCAACAAACAGCGAACGCAGCGCGCAGACCGCGCTGTGTCATGTTTCTTTCTCTCTCCTCGCAAGAAAAAAAAATCAAGTGTATACAAGACAGTAAATTTGAAAAAAATTATCGAGAACATCTGGAACAAGGATTATCTCACTCTCTCGTGTGAAGTCAGTTACCTGTTAATCGCGCTGTGCGAATCATCGATTCAGTGAATGTATTACGCGAGTCTGTAATCGCTGACACGTAATATTTGATCAACCGTAGCGCCATCCACGTGGCCTTCGCTAAGGCGCAATCTACGGCGCTAAGTTCGAACAAAAGAAACGAAGAAGAACCGGGGATTGCAGTTCGATGTGAAAATACAATAGAAAAAGACTGTACTTGTTTTATATTTTGCGCGAACAAGCGAAGAAGAGAAGGATACGGTTTTGTCATCTCTATTATCGCATTTGTTGAATTATCGACATATCGACCGTTGTTGTTATTTAACATTCGTTAACGATACTTTTTCATTCTTGAAAAAGTCCTGTTTTAAAAGACAAAATTCGTCGTTTAGATTTCGAAGAAAAATTGAGAGGAAGAATAGTCGAGAATGTGACGTTACAAAACGTACAATAAAAACGACGAGATAACGTGAAAAACAGATAAACTTGTTTATTGGCGCGCGCGCGTATGTTCGCAACGTGTCTCGCTCGCTTGATGCGGTAATAAAACTTGTTGCTTGTCGCGTCCGTCTGATAAAGTGAAGAGCGACTGATAAGACGAGAGACGAGTTGATTGGCCGACCGTAATTGACTATATAGAAACGAACGGAATTAATCACATGTCTATCGTCGCTGGTAAAGCAACGCTCAGTTGCTTTTGCGAATTTTTAACGAGACGCACAACATTTTCCGTTTTTCGCACCGTCGTCGCCGGCAGCAGAATGATGCGCGCCGATACTCAGGATTACGACCAGAAGGTCGTGCCTAAGGACGAAGTCATTAGATTCATCGTGGACTGCATGTGCAAAGCCGGCACCACTTCGGAAGACGCGTTCACCGTCGGTCATCATCTGATGACCGCGGACTACAGAGGTCACTTCAGCCACGGAATGAACCGGATGCAGATGTACGTACAGGACATAGAGAACAGGATCACCGATCCTGCCGCACGTCCGCAAACCGTCACCGATTTTCAGGTTCGAATGAATCTCGCGGGCGCGGGTGGAACTTGATTCTTTTGTCTTGATTCGCAAATTCTTTTAAGTTTTTACGAAACCGACGACGCGAAATCGTCTAATTAGCGAGATTCTTTAATTTGATACTTTTTCGCTGGTGTCTGTTTTCTTTTTAATCATGAGAACACAAGCGGACCGAAAAGACAAGTAGGTCAACAAGATAAATCTCTTCTTATCTTTTTAACCTGTAACCTACAGATAATGAGACCTCACAATTCGGTTATCCTGTATCAGTTGTTTCTTTTTTTTTTGTAGATTTTGAAGTCTAATAGTATCTTTCGTTATATTCTGTACATATTAATTTTTTTGAACTCCGCGCGAGTTTCTTATATCACGATATTTGCAGTTCAGCTCGAAATATTATTTATGTGTGTTGTTTCGCGCGCTCCTGATCGTTACTGCTGTGTGTAAGAGTATTCATTATCAATTGATTACGAAGCGAAGGTATCAGTGACGCAACTGTGTTTTTTCAAGCGTCGCTGCAGTCGAGGAGAATTTACATACGTGCCATAAAAAATGATATTTGCTTACCAATGTAACGATAACGTCGGGACGCTTTCTTGTCCGCAAGGCCGGCCTTCATTTTTTTTTTTTTTTTTTTAACAGGCGATAATACGATAAGATACGCGCGCATCCTTCTGATTGATAATAGTTACTTTTTTCGTCGATAGAAAGAATCTTTGTCACCAGCTTGCTTGTGTATATGCTCTTCGCGCCTTATCATGTTTTTTTTTTTTTTTTTTTGATCGGCTTTATCAAGCGATCGGAATTACATAATAAATTACATAATAAATAAGTCATTTTTTTCGTGTGCATCGCCGCTTCGATGGAATTGCTCGTGTAACGCGTTGGACAGCGACAATTTATCGAGTAGATCTGTTGACAATTGGACGAGCCGCACGCGATTAGCACCACTTTTAATTACTTTTTAGAGCGGTAGTTGCGAAAATTGCCGGTGTTGTCGGAAACACGTGAGCCGTGGCAATTTATCGAATGAACGACGACGACGACGACGACGACGACACGTCGACAATTTGGCGATCGATAACAAACACGCAGAACACTTATTAGTACTTGTGCGGCTCTAATTGCCTCGGTAATTGAAGCGGTATCTTCATCCGCAAAAATTGCCGTGATGTTATCGAAAATTCGTGCGTGATACGTATCTCGCTTTATCGTGTCGGACGCAATGAAACGTTCGCGTAAAAACATATTTCTAACGAAAAAAATGGAAAAAAAAAAAACATATATATTGATCGTGAAAATTACATCGCGAGTGCCAAGTTCCACCCAACTTGCGATATAGATTGGAAAAAAGAATGATAACGGAAATGATCTGGAATCTTTTCCTGGAACATCATCACTTTCAGGCGATAGCTCTCGTGGACGGCAAGAACGCGCTGGGCCAGGTTGTGGGCAAGTATTGCATGGAGCTCGCCATCGAGAAGGCGAAGAAATTTGGCATCGGCATGGTAACCGCGCGGGGCTCCAATCACTACGGCATCTGCGGTTACTACACCAAGATGGCGATGGAGCAGAATCTGATCGGTTTCGCCTGCACGAACACGAGCCCGCTGATGGCGCCGACGCGCAGCTTGAAGGCCGGTCTAGGTACAAATCCCATGTCCCTCGGGATGGCCGCTCATAACGACGAGTTTGTTCTCGACATGGCGACCACCGCCGTCGCTCTCGGCAAGATCGAGCTGGCCATTCGGAAGGGTGAGAATATTCCGGAGGGCTGGGCGCTCGACGCCGACGGCAAAGTCACCCGCGACGCCGAAGAGGCGTACAAAGCCTCTCTGCTGATGCCGCTCGGTGGCACGGAGCGCAATTCCGGTTACAAGGGTTACGGTTTGGCCCTGATGGTCGAAGTGCTCTGCGGCATTCTCAGCGGAAGTCAGTTCGGGCCGAACATCCGCGCCTGGAAGACGGGCGACCGAGTCGCCGATCTTGGACACTGCTTCATGGCCATTAATCCGGAGGCGTTCGCGTGCGGTTCGAAGGAGAGATTGTCGACCTTACTCGGACAATTGCGCGGCTTGCCCAGAGCCGGCGAGGAGCCTGTTCTGATAGCGGGAGATCCCGAGAGACAGCACATGAGCAAGGTCGACAAGGACGGCGGCATAACGTATCACCCGAATCAGCTAAAGGCTTCCGAGGAGTTTGCCGAGCACATGGGCGTGCGACCGATGAAACTCGTTCCCAGATCCGCTGATTGATTCTTTTGTAAAAAAAAAAAAACAAAAAGATCGCTAAACTAATCTATATCTTATACATATCCTCGGTTGTTGTAATCATTCGGATTATGAAAGGTAATTGGGAAGAGATATTTTGATACTAAAATTTTATGTAGATCTGTGTTTTTTATCGCATAAATAATAATTATTATTCTCGTCACGGCTTGTTGCTTTTGCAAGAATTCTATTGGTACGTGTTTTTTTTTTTCGATAACTGCTGCGAGCACGATATATCGTTGATGTAAGATTTACAAAACTCACTTGATCGCCGAGCAAGTTAGTATAGGTACTCCGCAAATGTTTGTTAGGAAATCACAGTTCGCGTGTGTGCAATTCGATAGTTGACGAATATGAACACGATGCTCATTCACGATGACATAACCGTCGGTTGCGATTTGATCGCCAACCGATGATGATGACGGCGGCCTTGGACTTGTCCGGCTCATTCTCGATTACAGTTGTTACGTCTTTATACGTGTGGGTCTCATCGATAATATATAACACTCGGCACTGAGAGATTATTGGAAACAAACAAGTCGCGAAACATTAAGCGGAACATTCATGTGATCCATTTTTGAAAACGTTTTAAATTTCACCAATTGCGCGCATGACTTGTCAATCATGCGCGCGATAAGCGAAATCTGCAAGAAGATTAATTTTGATGTGGAAATGTCTTTGTTTCATCTTCGTGTTTTATAGCGATATATATTTTGTACTCGTTTTACATCGATATTGCGTAAGATAATAAATTTTCTTTCTGCTGAAACGCACGCGTGCAATCATTTATTTATTCTCTTCTATTCTCCTGCTTCTATATATAATTTGATACACATTCCAGTCTTGATTCCAGAACTTGAGAGATCGGTCCAGAGACGAGAGAGAATCTCTCTCATATAATTTCGCGCGCGCTCTTACATCAAAACCCAGGGTTATCACGAGTGACAGTCGCGCAGAGACGCGGCGTCTGACTCGGGAGCTCGCGTTATCAACTCTAGTCGAGGGAGAGAGAGAGAGAGAAAGGCAAATTGCGATTGCAAATGTTGACACGACTGTCATTACTTTCTAAAGAACTCGCGAAACGAGCGAAAAGATTCCTTTATTTGACGAGAGAGCGAGTTTCAAACATGCAGTTTGACAGTATAATAAATTTGTTCTACAAAATCTTTTTATAGAAAGTTTATGAGTTCGTCGCGCATTATAGAGACATTTTAGTCTCTTTAGATATAATTTTCTTTCGTTGACGAAGCTTGGTATGTCGTTCTTATTGTCGTGCGAACAATACGTATCGTATGCGAATGTGTGTCGCGTTCAAGATGTGAATAGAAATCGCGTTTTCTCGGTCGTTGCGTAAAATAAATTCCAAAATGTGACAATTTGTCTTCCTCGTGCAGCTTTGTTGACCAATAAAATTCGCTCTTGCGATTATCATTATCTTCTTCGTATCGTTATTGTTATTTTTACATTGACATATTAAATAATTATAGAGAAAGAGAGAAAGAGAGAGAGACGCACGAGTCCATGTAACGGACATTGTAAAATCCCCGTAGCGCACATGCGATGCAATTAGAGCTTCTCGCGGCGAAGGCCAGTCGCAATTATCACCGTTGTGACTTTATTCCAAAAGAAGAATCCACGTAAGCGACTTCGAGAAGAGCAAGAATTATTCTTAAGAAAAACGATTTTACGGAAAACTAGTCGTAAGATTATTATTCACCGTTAAACGTTAATTGTCAACGAGCGTGAAAATCTGTTGAAAAAAAGTTTCTAGATTTTGCAGATTTTTTTGTATCTCTCGTTGTTACATTACGAGACGGAATTGTTCTCGCCTTTGTTTCTGAAAAATTTATGCGTTAATTTGAAAAAAAAAAAAACAAATACAACAATTTATAAACGTGGATATTTCGCTTTGAAAGAACGTATTTTTCAGCCTGACGCAGATGCGCGGTAGGTTCAAAAGTTATCGATGAGCTTTGTTTGTCGTCGCATTATCGAACAGACAAGAACAGACGTGGTGTTTCCATCTTGTTTTTTTTTCTTTTTTTTTTTATGTGATAACGTTCTTCGCACGAGGAGCGAAGGGCTGAGTGCAATCGACTGTATAAGTAATTAAAATCACGCGTTGTTTCTCAAAACGGTCGCGCTGTTATCGCGACAATTAATAAAAAGATGAAAAATCGAGTAATATTTGCGTTTGCTTTATAATGTGAAAATTCTTAATTTGCATAACGCGAACAGACAATCGACGAGAGTTAACAGAGCGGTTAGCTAATAAAGAGCTCCATGACTCATTAATACGTCGTTGTCGGCTGGTGGCATTTCACAGCTGACGTTAATTAAACTTATCTCTTTGGTCGAATCTCCGCCTAGACGCACTCGATGAGACTGTGAGATATACAATGTATACAATATCTGATATACACAATATCCGTGACGTGTCCTAGACCCGATTCTTAGCGGGAATGAATCGACGAACAATCTTTGCACTAATTGATAAGTAATTCTATTAATATACAATTGACTTATAATTGACGCAATTGTGAGACTTTCATAATACAAATTTAGTTCTAATTGATTGATTTATTTGTTTCATTATATTAGTAAGTGATAAATAATTAGTACGTGATAAATAAATATTTTTGGCTGTATTTTGTAAATAAAGTAATTATAACAGCAAACAGTATTCAGAGTAATTGATAATTAATTTTATTACATAATTATTTTTTTATTATTTTTATTACAAAAGAATATGTTGCTTATGTTTTGAAAGATTTTTAAATCACAAAAATAAGTATATGTACAAACCTAAGGGCAAACACGACGGAGATCTACAATGTGAGTCAACTTTCGCTGCGCGGCTAAACAGGAAGGAAGGCCCAATAATTGGACAAACGATCCTGTCCAAAATGCAGTCTGCAGTGTGTTGACGCATCGTCAGCATGGTAATTCATTGCTGTTTCATGTGTATATGTGTATGTATGCATGTGTGTGTGTGTGTGAGACTCGCATTAACTAATTCACTACGGGTCTAATACACTGACAGAGGGTCATGGAACCCATGGGATATCCGTGACGGCCTGGGATATGTATTCCCATGACGGTATAACGCAAGCGTTTGCAAGTCTTTCTTTTAATAATTCTTTTTATCTTACAACTACATTGCCATTTATTTGTCTTTATTTAAATATTAATTTAAAAACATAGACACGTTGGTCTTATACATTTTATTTCGTTTATAATAAAAAAAAAAAAAACATCAAACACATGTCAGACATGTGATTATTAAACATCCTTACGTATACGCGCGATGCAAAACTATATAAACGCTTTTTCAAAAGAGAATGCAAACCGCGCCGTTGAGATCATCCGAAGATTCATTGAGAAATCAACTTGTTCTTGGAAAAAATTTATCACAAATTGCTTACTTCGCAGTAAGTCGAATCTTTGTCGCGCGAGTAATTGTCACGATTACATCTCTTCGCTCGATATTCATTATTACAAATGACCGCGATCGGGCGGAAACGCGACTTTCCGCTCGATCTCCTTCGCGATTTTCTCGCAAATCGTCTCACAACGACGTTTGTCTCTGACGCGACTCCGTTGCACTTCGCGAATACTTCTCGCTCTGTGTGCAAAAACAAAGTAATTAACGTTACACGGGATTATGGAGACTTTTATAGAGTCGAACGAAACCGGAACTTTTGCGTATAATGGTGGAAGTGACGTTCTCTGACGTCTTCGAAATTAATTAATGACGTAGAAAAATGTTGAATCCCGAACAATTGCTGAATATCCGTGTCACGAGTGCGTTACATATATAAATCTATTGTGTATCTTGCCGTCTCTTTATATTTTACACACGTTCGGAATGCACAAGCGGGATCTTCTTCGATCGAAATTGTTCGTCCTGGTTGATCACGTCTTAACTTACAGGTAATGTTTATTAATTGATATTAATTTATTAATTAATTAACCACGAGTTTTTCTGTTTTACATCTTTTTTTGCATGACAAATTTTTGTGCATATTACACTTCTCTCCTCAATTTTGTGACATACACATACACACGATACAAACACATTTCGCGAGTCTCATTAAAGAGCGTGACGAAAGAACCGTATCGAAGTTAAATGATCACGCGGTTTTAATTTGCCAACGCAAATTTGCGTACCCGGCGGGGCTTTTGTGCAGCGACGCGCACGCACGACGTTATCTCTTTACATCGCGATGTCCGATGTGGAAACAAAGCGACAGATCAAACAAACCCGGATTTTTACAACATGATCGGCCAACAATTAGAGACCTCGCTACGCGCGTACGCGACTAAATTAGTTCTTAGTTTTAATTGTCGTCGCGAACACCTTACGAGGATCACTTGACATTCGGCTGCTGCGCGTAGAAGAGGTACGTAACGATATCTCATTTTGAACATGTTCGTGCGTGGTTTCACACGGTGAAAGATCAGTTTAATATAAATTCGAATCGCGCGAAATTTTCTTAAAAGCTGGTTGGAATTTTTACATCGGCGTGCTGTGATGATCGCTTGAGATTAAAATACATCATGGACAAGAAAAATGATTAAAACAGTAGTTTTTATTAAGGAAAGGAAGTTGGAATTAAAGAAATTGAATAAATTTTATTATTTATACGAAATAACGTCGAGAGAGAAAGAGAGAGAGAGAGAGAGAGAGAGAGAAGTCATCGATCGGAGTTGACGGCTAGCGCTGGTTAAGACGACCATTCATCAAATTACGTGGTCATTTTGGTCAATGATAACTCATGACTTTGAAGGCAGCTTCCTACGAGCCCTCGCCGAGGGAAGTGGCCAATTGCGCGTGCACGGCTTTCGTACAGTCGCTACTAGAAATGCCGCCAATAAGATTTCCCCGACTCGTTCTTGTAGCGCGATATACTTTAATCAAATCAATTGCATCGCAGCGCGCATCTTGCCGGCAGTGTGTTTGTTTGTTTGTGTGTGTGTGTATGTGTCTGTGTTTTAACAGCGAATTTTTATTCATTTTTTATTATCCGCGAACGAATTTTCCCTCGGCGCACACTAATCTCGCGGAAATTAAAAACAGAATTTAATCGTGACGACGATACGATGGGATTAATTACGTGATAGACGTGATATTTATCTCGACAATGTCTTTCTCCAATTAAAAATAAATTTATTGCATAAAAATATGGCAAAAATAAATGTGAAATAATGTAAACGCGCTCTTCTCCTCGACGGGACGATCTAAAGCTACAAGCCGTCAATTACTAATTAATTAAATTGCACGTCGTGTCTGATTTTGATAGGGGGTGGCGAATTTCTGCAGCGCTGCGACGTACGCGCGAGGTGTCCGCGTTGACAATGGGCAATATATTTGACCGGCTGTGGGGGGAAAATCGCGAGTGTGCGTGCGCGACGTCGACGTCGGCTGTCAGTGAGGCCTAATGAGACCGTAAATTGAACCAGGCTATAGGGCCTTCTATCTGAGAATTGCACGGCCGGTTCTCTCTTCTCGTTGTCAGTGTGACTCACTGGCTTCGTGTGCGACGGTATATTCTCGCTCGTGGTTTCACGAAAAAAAAGAAAAAGTTTCTTCTTTCACATCTTCCGTGATTTCGCACGTCTTCCCGACCTGTCAGCAATGTCAAAACTGTTGCGAGCGCAAAATTGTTGAAAGATGAGAACCAGTTTGAGGAATTATCTCGCAAAGAAGAAGAAACACTCACAGGTGTTCTGTGAGTCGCGTTGAATCGCGAAGATCGAAACGAACTTG